ATTTGTTTAAAAACGTTGGTAATGAAATTGATATAATCTTGTAGATTGGCTTTTGGTTTCATCCACTGTCAACTGTTCATGATAACTGCAATAACAACAAACAATATTTCTCACTTCATATATAATTGTTTTCACTATATTTCATAATTTTATACTGCATTGTTGTTAACAGTGTACATGACACTGTTATTATATTCTGACATATTACTCGACTTGGAATAATGCTACAAATTTACTGCTGACTCACGTGAACAAATATTGTTAAATTAACAATACATGAGGCAAGTGCATTTGAAGTGGGGTTCAATAGAAAACAAACGTACACAACACAATGCATTTACATATATATGTCTATATATGCATTATGAATATCGATAAAAGTGGAAGTTACTAATAATATTATTCTTATGTTCAGCATAGTGCACCTAACGTTGTTTTTTGTGTCACCCAGACCCACTGTTTAATGATAATTTTCATTTAATGACAAAAGGCAGCTCATTAGAAAAAGTTGACCGTCGCCACCACAAAGTTAAGTGCGTGGAGAGGTCAAAGTGTACGAACCCAGAAACACAGCTAGTGAAATAACGTTAACTATTTCTACAGTCGGAGTAGCTATCGCCATTGCTGTCTCTGGTAGGTTAGTGTAATTTTATTCATATAAATATTACAAAACATTTGCTATGTAAATTATTTTTATGTCAGTTCTTGCTAATCTCGTCGACATCAAGCGTATTTAAATACGTCCGGAAAATTGCACACATACGGAAACCGCCCTACAGATGCCCTTCTCATGGGTAGTATGTAAATAAAAACGTGAATCAAAGTTTCTATATTTAAATATGAGCAATATTAACTTGCCTAGCTTATTTGCTCACTTAAGTGAAGGCGTCGACTCGATTTAGTTTGCCCTGTCACCGAAACACTTGGTAATCGTTTTGGAAGATGGGTTTTACCCAAATACATGATACATCGCTGTCAATTTCAAACAATGAGTGTGAAGGGCGTCATCTGTTGGTGTGCCATCGGTGGCCAACTGACGCTATTTACATACCAAGTACGTTGATGACATCAACCTTGGTTGCCAGTACTTACTTAATTTATAAGTGACCTTCGCATTCCAGGCAGTTCAATAGGTGGGAAGCGGTGAGCATGTGAAATTGCCACTCCTGTAAAAGAAGATATACCCTTGCACGTCTGAAAAGCACCGATTTCAACATCTTTTTTTTCCTGGAAAAAAATTCCAAGTGTAACCAAATCTTGTAGTTTTTGAGGGTATAACAAAATAGAAAGCACAATATCTATTTAAGTTTGTTTCTGTAGTAACGCTTGGATATAACATAATATTTATATTTAGTAAGTATTGTGAAAATAAATATTAAAAACTCCCCAGTCAGATAAAACACCTCTGTGGTGTTCTACATTGGCCAATACCTTTCCCGAATATATGCGACTAAGTCTTATTCAGACGATGAAATCACCATTCCATTGAGGCGACAAACAATCGAGAGGTTATACAAATATTACATGTACATTCTAGAGCAATATATATGCTCCTTTATGGAAGTGATCTACTTCACTGTATTCATGTCAAAGTTCATTTCTTTGCAGAAACACCATGTTGACAACCAGTGTTGTCTTTATAACTGCACTTGTAGGTAAGTATATGTACTTGACTCGCCATACGATTTAAGAATCAGTTTCAAATACGAACTTAATGTTGTACACGAAAATGTCTTATAATTATATACGGTATAGGAGAAAAGTCGGTAGAGATCATGTATATGATAAAAACATAATTGAGACTCGATACACTACATGTTTTTGTGAGTGCATTTTTATTTGTCAAATACCATATTGCTTTGAGATGTCATTTCATATTAATTCCATGAGTGTGTCTACATGTCAGGAGTATATGACATAATGTCAATTCAATGCACCACCCTGGGATAAAAAATATTCGGTCCATAATATCTACTAGTAGACTTAACCCCTATTATACATATAATTGTTAAGTACATTTTTTACGTCAATTCATTCACGATAACCACTACTACGATGTACGAGATTTATACAATTTTAGGAACACCTGATATTAAAACTGTGTCTATAGATCTTATAATTAATCAACAGATACAAAGTAGAATTGTTGTAAATGATTCAATTGTTTGATCGTATACATGTGTATACTCGAAACAATTGTATTCTTATTGTACATTCGTAGTTGCAGCAGCGATCACTGTTACTGTACCTGGATCACCTGTCACTTCAATTGAGACCACATCAGCAGTATTGGAATGTACATATACTGCAACTAGCATCAATCCACTGATTTCATGGTATAAAGGTAGTAGTACAAGTACAGGTTCTTTGATTATACAAAAAGATAATGCCGGGATTTTCCCTCAGCCTGGAATCACAAGACATTACATTCAAGACCAAG